GTCAAACTGGCCTCAAACGTGTTAACTTTTACTCTGACGCGTGGCAAGGATACAGTCCTAACGAGATCTATGAAAAAAAATTTTGTGCTGAAGCAAGTATTTCATAAGAATTCTGAAAAAATGGGTCCGGATAACGGAAAATACCCATTTAAGTCACGAACATTTCCTGCAACTAGCTTTATCACTTAACAGCTTTCTTCGTATGAATCTTAAATTTTAGGGGATATTCACCTGATGGTAATGGCGGGTACGATATAAATGTTGCCGAAAATGTACGAAATGCATTTAACGGTGAGTCATTTCCATGCCAATTTCACTCTGCGGTCTAATGTAGTCACGTCTTAAAGCAAAATTTTGTTTACCATATTTTACAGATAAAATTTACGATATTTTATTTTTTTAACTATATTTTACCACCTCGAAGCAAATATTGGTTTACATTTCGTATAAAACATCATGATGTACTTATCTATAGGCTAGCAATCCAAATTTCCCAAGTTTCACGAATTGTGCATAAAATGGGTGGGGATAACACCAGATAGAATCGACAGAGTCATTTAGCCACAGTAAATCTCAAAATCATGCGGAATTTGAAAGCTTTTCGTAACTTTGCCGTATGTTACATAGAGAAAGTTCAGAATAGTTTTACGCGTAAACTCTTTATAAGATTGGCTTTAGTTATAACTTGATACCAGGTGGAAAGGTACGTAATATGAATCTTAACCTCTCCACGCTTGCTTATAGAAGACGTAAATTCGACTTATTAATGGCGCATAAGATTGCGTACGGCAAGTGTGGGCTAGAATTCAAGGTATTCTTCCCTACTACAATTTCAACAACGAGGGGAGGCTGTCGTAAACTGATTATTCCTAGGTCCAGGTTGAGGGTTCGCAGGAACTTTTTCTTTGTCGTGTTGTTTTGATATGGGCAGGCTCACCAGAAAAGGATCGCTTCCTGCAAAGTTATCCCAGTTTAAGACTACCTTAAAGAGTTAGCTACAGTCCACTACCGGTATTGTAACTAACGCGGGTCCTCCTACCATCACTTAACTACATTTTGTTTTGTTCGTTCTTTGTTGTAATTATTTTGTTTTCTTCTACATTTTCACTTTGTTGCTGTTTTAACAAAGGTTAATCCTATGTAATAAATGAAGGAAGTGAATGAATGAATGTTGGATTTCAGCTGGTCTTGGCACTGAAGTCTATATGACTCCAAACCCTAACTCCACCAAGACGGGTCCCCAGCAATTTCAAGAGCTCTACACAAGTCTGAAAACTACCTTCGACGTGAAAATTATTTGGCTGCAGGTGGAGTAGCTCTGCTTATGTTGGTTTTACCTAAAAAAATTTGATGGGTTTAGATCACAACGCCAATAAAATGGGAGGCCAACATCGCAAAAAACATAGACTTTATCAATGGTATCATCGAAGCAGCCAAAGTACGTATTGAAATAAGGGTCCAGCCCTGGATGTAACTGTACTTTTAGACGTATGGAGTGACAATCGGTATTTATACGAGTGCCTATGACTGGCAACAAATCACGCACAGCTGGACTGGTCCCATTCTCACTCCGTTATGGTAGGGTACAACTCAAATCCCATGTTACTTATTTGTGTGATTACCTCAGTCCATTACTCAACTACCTTACTATTGAGCCTAACAACTGTTATCTGGACCTTACCCAGATAGAGACAAAGTTTAGGTACTGGAATGTGCTTGGCACTGGTCCGATGGCTGAGACGCCGAGCACCTTTGATGATTTCCATCCATTTGGACCCTGGACAACGGCCTCCATCAAACAGTTTGGACAAGAGGAACCCATTTGTGGACAAACTGTCAACAGGTAGTGAGAACAATGTCAGGTATTTTCTCGGTGAACATCTATTTCAAAGGGATATCTACACTCCAATAATACTCTCTCCATCAAAATCGACTGCATCGAATGGCAAAATACAGATTGGTGGTTATGTTTGAAATGTATGTATTAATAAAGGTGCACCATTGTAGTATGGTACTTTGAGATGTATTGCAACAACCATGAAAAATCATTCTTATTGTGTTAGGGTCGTTTGATACGGCGAAGCGACCGCTCGCGCCCTTGACGCAGTCTGCGTCTCTCTCACAGGCGAGCTCTCTGATCATCCTCCACTTGGTTACACCTCGAAGCCCTTCCTTCCGGCCGCCAATCCCATTGAAACAAAGGGTATCTGCGCTCTCA